TGATGAAGAAAAACAAAGTAGTATTGATACTGTCAACATTATATTATGATGAAAAAACTGACAGTGAAGCCAGGCATGGTAGTATATGTCTGTAATCTTAGCACTTGGGAGGCTGAGACAGAAGGATCCTGTGAGTTCAAGATCAGCCTGTCCTATATAGTGAGTTCAAGTCTAGCTTGAACTACAATAGAGACCCTGTCTCAAAACAAACAAAAAAGACCACTAGTGAATCCTTAACACAAACGAAGCCACAACAAAATTCAATAACTATGATATCACTTGAAACGCAAAGTGTTAGTCAATGTTTGTGTTTTACTCAATCCTAAACATGTCAGGCATAAATAATTTTATAGTTTAAAAAAAAAAGAAAAACAAAATATCATGAAGAAATTTTCTTAGAGGACTGGGACTAGAATTGATAAGTGATCAGTTACATAGAGGACAAACAATACGTATTTGCCCAAAGAATTCCAGAGGAGGGCCAGGGATTTAGCTCAGTGGTTCTACTACCTGCCTCACAAGCACAAAGACCAGAGTTCAATCCCCGGTGCCAAAAAAAAAAAAATTCTAGAGCAGATCAGTGAAGAGACAGATGAAACATCACAAGAACCTCTAAGAAAACAAGAAGAAAGCAAGATGTCAAGTTCAGTAGGCCCTCAAGTTATGACCTGCCTGACATACAAACAACTTGAGCTAATTAGGTTAATGGAAGATGTATCTGTCTGTTGTTAATGATAGCATATACCCAGGTAAACATTCAGATCTCAGTTGTATTGACTTAGTTACAACCAGCCCTTGGAAACAGATTGAGTTTGTGAGTCAAGGGCCCACTGTATGTCCTACCAAAGAAGACAGGAAAATAAAACTCATGTGCTATCAGTATAAGCGAGACTTGTGCATAGAATCTGCTGTGCTGTATGAAGACAGCCTTAGGTATGATAATTGAAGCAAAGATTATTTCTGTGGTAGAGTTTTGTTTGTATTTTCATTGTAGTGCACATAGGAATTTACTTCTGCTGTTATTTTTTAGATCTTGTAAGCAAGTAAACAGTTGATGTTGAAAATTGTGATGTTTATTCTTTTTCTTTTCCAGTACTGGGGATCAAACTCAGGACTTTGCACTTGCCAGGCAGGTGTGGCACCGCTGGGCCTTGATATTTTTTCTAAACATTCATTACATATTTGATATTTTATTTTATTGATATTTTATTTTCCCGCTAAATGCACACTGTATAATATCATAGGAAGCTCCTGCCAAAAGAGGAAGATGAGAGAAGTGGTGAGGGCAGCAGTGTAGCTCAGTGACAGAATGTCTGCCTGGTATGCATGAGTTCGGTCATGTGTGAGGACAGTCTTAGGTGTGCTAACTGAAGCAAAGATTATTCCTGTGGTAGAGTTTTATTTGTATTTCCATTATAGTTCACATAGGAATTTATTTCTGCTGTTTTTTTTAGATCTTGTTAAGCAAGTACACTCCTCATGTTGAAAATATTGGTTTATTCTAAACACTCATTACATATTAGAAATTTTGTTTTATTGATATTCTATTTTCCTGTTAAGCACACATTAATAAAACTCATAAAATTAAAATTAGTAATTCACCAATAGAAGTAATACTAAAAAATAATGTGGACATCATACCCCCCATAATGTGCCTTTCAAAAATTTACCATGATGCCCCTCCTAAGAGCATAAAATACAGCTAGATGTGGTGGTGGTGGTGCATCCCCATAATTCCAGAACTTGGAAGGCTGAGGCAGGAGGTTCACCATGAGTTCAAAGTCAGCTTGAACTACATAATGAGACCCTGTCTCAAAAAAAAAAAAAAGGCATAAAACAGAATACTTAGGATTACAAGAACAATTATTATCAAACCATGTAAAAGCTGAATATGGTGGTAGCCTACAGCTGTAATCCCAGCACTTGGGAGGCTGAGGCAGGAGGACTGCAAATTCAAGCCCAGTCTGGGCAATTTAGTGACTTAGCAATACCCTATCTAAAAATGCCAAATGAAAAATGTCTGAGGGTGTTGCTCAGCATGAAGGCCCTGAGTTCATCCCTAGTATCAAGAAAAAAAAAAAAAAAAAGAAGTTTGAGACTACAGAGGAAGACTCTGTGTCAAAAAACCAGAACAAACAAAACCAAAACAAAGTAGAAGGCGAATTTATGATTTAGAGAGGTTTAATGTTAATGACCCCTTTTTAATGACATCAGGACACTGTTGCTCAGCTTGAATAACATTAAGCTCATAGGGTCGTCTCTGACTCACCTTCTCTCACAAACAACTAATGATAGGGAATGCAGAAACCTGGGTCATCAGTGTGAGAATGGGCACAGTCATCATTTGCTCATTGAGCCTCCAGGCACCGAGCTCCTGCATCACAGGAGGGTCTGAAACACAGTGGCATTAGGGGTGGTTCAGCAGAGGCGTCATAGCTGTCACAATTTTGAAACAGTTACAAACATAAATATTTCAATACTTGTAATAACTACATTTAATACATGAAAATATCTGTAATTGCTGTTTGTATGTGTGCAGTACTAGGAATTGAACTCATGGGGGTGCCAAGCTACAAGCTATATCCTCAGCCCTCCTTTTTTTTTTTTTTTTTTTTTTTTTTTAACAAAAATCAAAGGCTCAGGGCCAGGGATTGAGCTCAGCAGATCAGTGGCCTGCCTTACAAGCGCAAGGACCCGAGTTCAATCCCCGGTACAAAAAAAAAAAAAAAAATCAAAGGCTCGATAAATTGCCCAGGATGGGCTTTGAGCTGGAAATCCTCCTGCCTCAGCTTCCTGAGTGACTGGGATTATATCCATATGCCACCACAACTAGCAATATCTGTGATTTCTATTGACAACAAAGTCACAGATAATGCTACTATTTCAACCCACAGAGAAGGAAATGGTAAATTTTAGTTAGGTGTTAGTGAAAAGAAAGATATGACTTTTTGTGGCTTGTGTCTAGATGTCCCCCCAAAGCCTCATGCAGTCTTTGTTGGAGGTGGGTGAAGAGAGTGAGATGGGAGGATTAAGAACGTGTAATAAACCACTACACGTGAGAGTAGGGCACTCTCTAATCCCAGGAGTCTGAATAAAAGGAACTGAAAGACATTGCTATGGTCCCTTGTTGACTTTGCTGTCTCCCATCACTGCCATGAGCTGTTTCTCCTCTTCCACTCTTGCCTTGAAGCCACCCAATCGGGGATTGAAACTTCTATGAACTGTAAGCCAAATAAACCCTCTCTACTTTAACTGTGGGTAGAAGAACTAATGCAGACTTTTAAGTTTACTCATCCCTTGAATTTTGAACCCCTGGTTAAAAGCCTCCATCTCAGAAAAATGTCTGGCGTATATGAAGTATTCATCATTATCATCTCAGGCCGGTGGACTCCTAGGTCTTGGGAACCAGGTGAAATTAAATTCCACACTCAGTTGCAGTGTGACTGAACCCAACTTTTACATCTCTCTCAGAACCTAGTTTATTCTTTCAGAAAGGGTGCTACCTAGACCATAGAACTTGAGGACTTCTAAGACTTTGAATCTGTGATATGGGGTAGACCTGAGTTATTATTGCTTTAAATTTGCAGGGAGAGCTGGGCATGGTGGCGCACGCCTGTAATCCCAGCACTTGGGAGGCTGAGGCAGGAGGATCACTGTGAGTTTGAGACCAGCCTGATCTACACAGTGAGTTCAAGGCCAGCCTGAACTACACAGCAAGACTTTGTCTTTAAATAAATAAAAATTAAAAAAAGATCTCCAGCTTCTCTGGAACTTCGGCCAGCTCTGATGGCCCCATCCCATCCTCATGCTTAGCATCAAACAGCAAGGGGGGATTGGCAGCTGCTTCCCTCAGTAGGAGACTCCAGATCTCTAGGCCCCGCAGGCCTTGCCTCTTCACTTAGTTCACTTCAATTAGCTGACTTCAAATCTGCAACACGCTGCTCACGTCTCTGGCTTTGACCTTTGCCTAGCTTCTTTCTACCCTGTCCTGCGTCCTTCCAACCACCCTGCTGCATACCCCTCTAACACTTTTGACCCTTCCAATAATATCCTTGCCAGGACACTGGGGAGGCCCCGTCAGCTCTAATAGGGTTTTTACCAGTGTCTGGTGGGCACAGGTCTGTCTTCACCACCCCGATGCCATCAAATGCTTATCCTAAGCTGGCTCAGATGCAGACAGGAAAATCTGGTCCTTCCTACCTCACAAGACTATGGAGGAAAAACAACAATAGCTTCCCACCACTCACTCCCCTGGAAGGCCTAGGGGCCCAGCAACCACAACAGTGCCTTTACTCTGTGCCCCAACACCTCAGAAGGGCAGGCCGTGAAGGGCCACAAAAGACTGTATGGACACAAAAGTCCTGTGTACATGCTGCAAAAATTTCAAAGGCCACAACAGGTTACGAAGTGAAAGGAAGATGTGCCATTTTCCCAGCATGTTTTAATTTTGTCCCCCAGTGGGGGCCACTGCTAAGTTTTCTCCATAGATGCAGATACTCGAAAATTGTACCTTTTTTTCATTTTATGATAATTTCATGAAATATATTCAACTGTATTTTTTTGGGGGGGTACTGAGGATCGAACTCAGGACCTTGCGCTTGCAAGGCAGGCAGCAACACCACTGAGCTAAATTCCTGGCATGAAATATATTCAGAATAATGATCAGCAGTTTGCTATTTTTAAACATAAGGGCAGCTTAACTGGTATTTAGATACCCTTTTATTGTCCCCAAACCGAGGATAGGAAAGCCCTTGCAGGAACTCCATCTTCAGAAAGGAGGTGAAATGTGTCCTCCCTCAAAGTAAAAGTGATTGAGACTTGGGTATCGTGGTACATGCCTGTAATCCTAGCACTCAGGAGGCTGAGGCAGGAGGATCAACAAAGCCAACCTGGGCTACACAGTGTTTTGTTTTGTTTTGAGACAGAGTCTCATTATGTAGTTCAAGCTGGCCTTGAACTCACTATGTAGCCTAGGCTGGCCTTGAGCTCCTGAGATCCTCCTGCTTCAGTCTCCCAAGTGCTGGGACTGTGCCATCACGCCTAGTCCTGGGCTACATAGTGAATTCACGGCCAGTCTGAAGTGCATATTGAAACCCTCTCTCAAAAAAAAAGTACAAGTGGCCAATTTTATAGAAACAAGTAGAAAAAGTATACCGCTATTGAGAGAGAGGCAACTGAAGCACCCTGTCCCTCCTTTGCTGAATGCTGATTGGTAGCATCCAATCATCTGAGATAGCACAGGGTCTGGACCAGGGTTGAGGGAGGTCTGCCCAGTACCTGGTCCACACCTGGGACTCCTGAGGGCTTCCAGCCAAGGCCTCTCCTGCCTACCAGGCCTGGTATCCCTGGAAGATGGGGGAGGTGCTGCTCAGACCTGATGCTGATCTCTCCTGACAGCTGCTCCTACAGCTGGCAGGACAGCAGGCAGCCAGGGGGCGGGGGGACACAATGCAAGCAGACTAGATTTAAAGATTCAGTTGCCCTGCCCCTTGCCAGACCTGGGCAGGCTTGCACGGGTGAGCACAGTCTGAGGACATGACTGTCATGCATACAAGAGGCCAGAGACCCCTGTACCCTCTACTTCTTGGTACCAAGAACACCACTGGTCTTTGTATCTGCTTCTATCCCACAGGCCATCTGGGACACTAGTGCACCCAGCCATGCGATTTAGACACCTGACCCCTGGCTACTTCCGGGTACTACAGGTAAGTAATCCTAATGGGATGGTTTCTAGCATCACTGACCTCTTCCTCCCCTTACCATGGTTGGACTGATGCCAACAGTCAGGCTGTCATGTTTACTGCCACCTGACTAACCAGGGCCAAGATGGGCAGTGAAGTGAGAGGGATTGGGGTGGAATCTCCCTGGGGCCGCAATGGCGTCCCTGTCTTTTTTACCCAGCTGCAACTTCTTAGCTCCTGCCTGCCTAAAAATCTCAACTAGCCTCTCAGATGCATCTTCGGGGTACCCCCACTAGATGCAGGTGGCTGGCAAGCTGAAGGTAGAGTCCCGGAGTCCACTGGCTGGGGTTGTGGCTACACTGCTGGCTGTCCTTGGGCTGGGTGGCTCCTGCTACGCTGTGTGGAAGATGGTGGGGCAGCAGCCACCATCACAGGCCCCATGATGAAGCAGACAGCCTTTCATGCAGGCTCTGGAGGTAGGTGACTCAGGGGAGGGGGCTGAAATCTCAGAACTCCACTTTTTTCATGGCGATCAGTCCCTGCCCTTATTTGAAGCAGGGCAGAATAAACCCAATCCTACTTTTCCATTTCACACTGTACCTGGGCTCCAGCTCATGTGCTAAGACCCAGGAAAGAAGGCAGGTTCCAAAGGTGGGTCAAGGAGGGAGTAGATATCCTGGACCCTGTACACTGAAAGCAGTGGGATTTTGTGGCAGAGGTCTGTAAGTTAAGAGTCAGAAGTAAGCCCTATTTTCCAGTTCCTTTATTGGGCAGAGGGCACCCAGAAGAAGTCATCTACTCACTAAACCTGGGGCTCCGAATGGTTTGGTACCCTTTCTCCTAGCCTAGCCTTGCACCACTGTCCATGGGCAGCTCCTCTGCCCTGCATACTCAGGTCATGTCAGGTAGAGGTATCCATCTCAGGGACCTCAGTGGATACTTCCGTGGGCACTGCCAGCCGCTGGGGGGGCACATAGGAGCCCATGCCCGCTGCCCTCTCCGCCTCTTCCTGACTGTAGGGCTCGATAGTCAGCTGTTTCAGCCTGGGAGAAAGAATACGAGTTGAGAGCTGACCAAATTCAAGCTCTGACTGCCCAGCATCCATCCATCAATCCTCTCCTTACTCCATACCTTTTTTTGTGGTCTTTGGATCGGAAGTGAGTCTTCAGATTGGCGGAATCGATGAAGTATCTCCTGCAGGTATGGGGGTGTGAGAAGAGAAGAGGCGATGCCTCTCACGTACACCTAGCCCCCTGACCCTAGCTCGTTCCCCAGCCTCCCAGTCTGAAGGGATGGGAGGCGGCGGGCTGACCCATGGGTCCCAAGAGTGGAGACCTCAGAGACTCTGCCGTGCAGACCCTCCTCCGCCAGGGGCTGGGCTCGGCCGGGACTCACGCGCAAGCCAGACAGCGATGCAGGCCGCCTCCTGGCAAGTCCGGGTCGGGCTCGGTGTCCGGGTCGGGCCTGGGCCGGGTGTGACCCTGAGGCAGCAGCTCCCTGTGAATCTCATCCAGGTCTGGCCGCCGCCTCTTGGTTTTCATCTGGCGGGCTAAGGAGTGTGCTCGGTGCGCGCCTGTACGGCGGGAGCGACCCATGACTACGAGAGTGACAACAAGGCCAAGGGGCTGGGAGCAGAGAGGGGACACACGTTTTTGGCACTTCCGGACAGCGCGATGACGTCATGAGATGCCCGGGGCGGAGCAGGAGCGACCAGACCGCCTCTGATGACGTCACCCGGACTGCCCGCAGTTTGAGCGCCCCCAGGCGGCCATCGACGTTAGCGACGGGATTAGGGGCGCGACAGGACGAAGTTTGCCGAAAGGTGGGGCGAGGTCCTCCATTGCTAAAGCGGAGTGTGCCTGGGAAGCTTCGGGCTGGTTCTGCCTATCCCAGGGTGGGCCTGTTACCCCTTCTGGTTTCCACACCTTAAGGCTCTGTGGTGGGGATGAGAGACTGTAAGCACAGATAATGTCTGTGACTTGAATAAATTAATAAATGATTAGAGTAAGTTTGTGATCCTGGTCCCAGCAGAACTCCATGAGATACCTCCAGCCCCTGACAAAGCTTTTACCATTTCTCATGATTTCCGTTATTCATTACCTTGGGTCCTCCGTCTGCCCCCAAATCCATGGGGAGGGAGTTTCCTTCCCAGAGATCTCAGCACTCTGGCGTCCTGTCAGGTAGAAGGGCTCAGCTCCTAAAGCCGGGGGTTGTGGCGCATGCCTGTAATCCCAGCACTCAAGCGGCTGAGGCAGGGCGATCTTAATAAATTCAAAGCCAGCCTGAACTTCACAGTGAAACCCTAGAAGCACAGCCTCATTTTTGCTTCTTTTCTCTGAGCCTGGCCTCCTAAAGGAGGGCTGGCAGCATCAGTGTAGAGAGAACTTGGTGCCTCCCAGGCTGGCCAGAGTCAGTTCCACTGGACTGAGCCAGAAGAGCTCAGCAATAATTCAGTGACTCCAGCTCTTTGGAACCTGTTGCCAGGAAACAGGGAGAAAGACACATGGATCCCTGGGGAGAGAACTAAGTTTCTAGGCCAGACAAAGCAGTGAAATGTAAACTCAGAGTGCCGACCAGAGGCTAGGGACTTTCCCACTCCAATTCATGGAGCCTAAGAGGGGACATAGGGTGGGACATGGCTACAGTAGCTACAGTCACAGAGGGCAGCAGTGTGGGTCCTAACCCAAGGATTTAGTGAATGCAAGATATCTCTGGAGCCATTCTAAGTGTTGCCAAACTCAAGTATTCCTAGGCCCAGGAAAGTAGCCTCTTCACAGAGATGACTTCATTATTCTTAGCCAATAATGGGTCAAGACAAGGGTTGGAGGCAGTAGAAGCCCGCCCCCAACTCAGGCTCTTTTGGATCAGGTTCACCTGCTAGGCACTGTGCTGGCTGGGGAAGTTGGTGCATCTTTAATGAAGTCACCCGATACCTGGGACAAGCTTTTGGCTCCACCAAGTTCCTGAAGCCAGACCTACTGGTGCCTACGGAGCCATCCACTTCCCTGCCTGAGTACCAGGCCTCTCTCCTCTGTAACCATGAGCCAGGCCTTCTGGAAAACCTACAAGTCCAAAGTGCTACAGACTCTGAGTGGGGAATCCGAGGAGGACCTGGCAGAGGAGGTGGGTACCCTCCATGCCTGCCAGGTGGGGCATGGGCAGAGGGACAGCAGGAGAGAAATACAAAGAGGGGCCAGGGACAGCTCTTGAGAGAGGAAGAGGCACATTTTACAGAAGCCCTGGGCGCACTCAAGGATTGCAAACAGCAGGATGTAGTATCTGAGAGCCAGGACATTTGAGAAAACTGAGAAGAGTGACCACTGAGAGGCCCTGAAAGAGGTGACCAGTGTCTCTGTGTACCTCAAGGGCTGCCACATGGAACAGATTCTTTTAGGACCAGTAGGCAGTAGACACAGGGTACACTTAGCTGGACCTAACTTTCTTTTTGTTATTGTTTTGTTTAGACAGGGTCTCACTATGTAGCTCAGGCTAGCCTCAGACTCAAAGTAATCCTCCTGCCTCAGCCTCCCAAGTGCTGGGATTACAGGTGTGCACCACCACACTGGGCACCAGACCCATCTTTCTAATGGCAGAGTTGAGCTAACTGGGATGGCTTGCCTTGACAGGTAGTGAGCTCCCTGATTCTGGAGGTAGAGAAGAGGCATTTTGTACACAGAGGGTCATTTTGGCAGCACCATGTGAAGCTATGCTCAGACTGTGCTTCACTCTGACTTTTAAACAATTTAAACAAAACAAAACAGGAGTAGTGGGGGCACCGGGGATTTTGCTCAGTGGTTCCGCTGCCTGCCTCGCAAGCGCAAGGACCCGAGTTTGGTCCCCGGTACCAAACCAAACCAAACAAACAACAACAACAACAACAACAACAAAACAGGAGTAGTGGCATGTGTCCGTGGTCCCAGCTACTTGGGAGATTGAGGCAGGGGGGTTGCTTGAGCCCAGAATTCCAAGACCAGTCAGTCTGGACAATATAGTGAGACCCCCATCTAAAAAAGCAATAAAAAAGGCTCTGAAAATAAGAGCAGTCTTATGTCTAGAGGCTGTGATAAATGGCAGTCATGCAATTAGATGTGGCAGGGACAAGAGCTACTCCCTGTGTGGGTGTATACAGTGTGTGTCTACACAGGTTGGTGTGTCCAAAGCCGGGCTGGTACAGAAGTGTCTGTGGATGAATGCTGGGGTTGGCATCTGTGTAGAATCCTCGGTGAAGGGAGATGTGCAGGTCTGAGCTGAACCTAGGTATTTTTAGATGTGTACATGTTTCTGCAGGAATATGTGCCTGCATGCTCCGACCTGGCATTTGCAGGTGTCATTGTATGGTTGTGTGTATTTGTGTGTCTATAAATGGGCAGAGAGGTTTTGTGTGCCACAGATGAGTCTCTGTGCAGCTATGGTGCAGTTGTGTAAAGTTGTGTAAGTGTGCAGGTGTGAATGGTGTCCTTGCATGCACGTCCTTGTATAGGGGCTCACTGCACGTACGTCTATGCACAGGTGAAGAGCTGTGGCCATGTGGAGGGTGCTCATGAACAAGTGTGTCTGCATCAGAATGTAGCCCTTGTCCGCGTTTTTGGATGTGTCTGTGTGTAGACAGATTTGTGTATCCTAGGGGCCTGCAGGGCTTTCCTCTACACCTCAGTGTATGTGAATGGCGGCTTTGTGTAGAGGCACATCTGTGCCATTCTGTGTGTCGTGTACAGGTGTGTGCTTATTCTACGGGACATGGGGTGCCTGGTCTGTGTATGTGGTTAGCAGTAGGGGAGGGAGGTCTCACTTCTCTGGGGCTTCTCTCATGCTGGATGGGGTATCTTGTGTCCCAGAGGGAGAACCCAGAGTTAGTGGCATCTGAGATGGCAGAACCCACTGAAGAGGCCTTCAATCCCATGTCACAGCTGGCCCGCAGAGTGAGTTCCTTTCCGTTTTCCCACCCCAAGCCTGGGAAAACCAGCAGAAGCTGGTGGGGACTCCTGGTAGGCTGTGCTGGGGCCCTTTCCTGACTCCCAGCCCATCCCTCCCAGGTCCAGGGGGTTGGGGTGAAAGGCTGGCTGACCATGTCATCTCTGTTTAACAAAGAAGATGAGGACAAGCTGCTGCCACCGGAGCCCTGTGCTGACCAGTAAGTGTGTGTGTGTGTTTAGGGGGTGGTTCTGGATGGTGCTTGCGGTCCCTCTTTGGTAATGTCTGTTCTTTCCAGTCTGTTGGTCTCTTTCTAACCATGAAAGGTATAGAGGGGCAGCCCATCCATTTCTCTCAGTGGGGTAAAGCCACGTTGGTATCTGGGAGATTAAGTTAGACCGCCCAAGGAATTTACCAGCTGTTGGGATTTAGGTTCTAGAAGGTGTTTATGAGCTGTCCCACCCACCAGTGGGGAGGCCCATGTCCCCAGAATCCAGACACAGAGGAGGGCCTTCAAGTGTTTGCAAATTCCTGGACCCTCCTTCAGAGACTGGAATTCACTAGGTATAGACAGAGGCCTGGGGATCCCAGAGGACCCACTGTTTTATTTAAATTTATTTATTTATTCAGTTTTTCGAGCCATGGTCTTGCTATGTAGGTCAGGCTGTTCTTAAACTCAATATGTAGTCCAGGCTGGCCTTGCACTCGGATGACCCTTAGGAGGTCTTTAATGCTGAGGATTACACCCTGTATACCCTGGCTGTACCTCAGGCACACACTCCATCTCTATCTACCCTTTCCTCCAGGCTGGTCACACCCCCACACCCCCATCCTTTTATGCCCAGGGTGCTCCCCCCCCACGCATTTATCTCTCCTGGCCTTGGATTTTCTCTCCACACCCATATTTCTCTCTTATCCTTCCCATCTCCCCCGCTTCAGTACCGGGAATTAAACTCGGGACCTTGAGCTTACCATGGGTAGGTGCAGCACCACTGAGCTACATCTCTGGCCCTTCCCTCTTAGGAAGCTTCGAAGATCTGAGGCTCCTGCTTCAAGCTTCCTACCGCTCCTCGAATGCCTTTCTTCCCATCTCCCACCTCCCACCCCAAGTCCCCTTTTCTCCGGCTTCTGGTCCAGGATTTTCTTTCTTTAGAGTCGCTCCACTGGTTTTCCTCCCATGCCCCTAGTCCATCCTTTCATCTATCCAGGGACTGGTTCCCTTCCCAGCCTCACCTGTTTTCCTTCCAGTAGGGTCTGAAAGAGTCCACTCCAACCGGGCTCCGCCCCCTCCACTGGCCTCGCCCCTATCCCTCGAGATCCCTTCTGTAAACCCGACCTTCTTCTCTCCCATGGGATCCTGGTCCCCTCTCCCCAGGCCGGTCACCTTTTGACCCTTCCCACCCCTCCCCTCTTTCCCAGAGCCTCTGAATCCTCCCTTTGCCCCCAGGCTCAGACTTCGCCGGGACTGTCCCGGCCCCAGGCCAGGTCCCTTGTCCCCGCCTCCTGTCCTTCGTCCCTTCCCGGGACT